GTTTCGACCTCGCATTTGTCTTATCAACACCCTTAGCGGGAGTCGAACCGTGACAGTGCAGAATGGGAGCCTGACACGTTGACCACTCGACCACATTGCCAAGAGTGCCCTTGGATCATTATGCATATGCGAATTTCAAGGAAGGCAGGGCATTAGTCTCGAACCTCTGCTTATAAATAAAAAATATGCAATATAGTAGTCGATTGATATAGCAAATTTAATTATGCTTTATCGATAATCCCACCAAAAAATGTGATTTGTGAAAATACCTGGCCTTCCTTGAAATTCATATCTGCCTTGTGATTCAAGGGCACTCGTAGCAATGTGGCAAAGTGGTCAACGTGTCGAGATTACACACTGCATTTTTATGTTTCGTCTTCCGCTGGGGATGTTGATAAGACCTAGGCGAGGTCGAAACTCCAGTCCACCATGGATAAGAACAACTTTATGGAACTCAAGGCTATGTGAAATTTATTGGAAACATCAGCTCTATTCATGTAATTGTGGGAAAATTCAAGTAGCAGTCCTTCATCACCTTAAATGAAATATGGGTGAATATATTACATTCTTCCATATTACAGTGGTTTTTAAGCGATTACTTAAAGTTTGGAAGCTAGTTTATTGCAGTGTCAAGATTTGTCAGTCTTTTGAAATAACTCGTTTTTTCTACAATGAGCCAAGATTTTAGGCTCATATTTTTAAAATAAGACTCTACTTCAGATTAGCCTAATGTAACTCTTGATGACAGTTTCTACACGAATAAGGTTTGAAAGCGAAATAGGTAAGCCGATTCCCAAAGCTAACAAGGCTTACATCTAAAGGAAATTGTCATTTGGAAAACGCTTGCATACTAGAATGCTGCTTTGCACTTAATTCTAAATTGTAATGAGTATATGCTACCAATAAAGATTATTGGAGAGTATATGGTGAGGAACAATCAGTTACGGGGTTTCGAGTAATTTATTTTCTGGATATTACAAGGACACAAAAACAATAGCCTATTTGTGTAAGAATAATAAGCTCCTCTACTTCCTCTATTGGAGACCGTGATGATACGATTTGACTTTGTGCATAATATATTAGCATATTCAGTTCAAACGAATGTTCAGTGGAAGAATTTTGTTATGATTGACATGAACGAGGGCTTCGAGTAATTCGCTTTTGCAAATTATGACTGTTGCATGAGAGAGGTCGGCTTTTTGCAAATAAATGAACGTTGAAACATTTAGCGTTAAATGATCAAATGACCTCTAATTTGGCCGTAGTGCCGTATTCTTGTAGATAATTCAATAATATATAAGGTCAAAATATTGATTTGCATAAAAATAGAACTCGCTAAGTTAGTGATATTCGCTTAATTTGCACCCACAAGTCTATCTTACTTTGGACTATCTTTGCTTTAATTTACTGCACTTAATGCGGCTCTTCCCAACTTGCATGAACACAGCAACAAGGCAAGGTTTCTCGTAACCGTGTTAATGCAATTTCCAGAGAGTGCACTAAAGCGCTAAGCCTAAATATTTCAGTTTTCCGCTGAACCCGTAGCTAAAATGTCATACTTTTTGCATTTCGTCTATCTTCCAGGCCCATAGTTACTGTGGCAAAAGGTAACACTGAATGCGTGCAAACACATTCACTGACAGTTAGTAGCATACTGACATAGGTATTGATTCAGGGTCTAAGCAGAAAAGCTCGCTAAGTCATTTCGTGATACTGTTCTATGGCTGTCTAGAAAAAAAGAATATTAAATAATAAGCTATCTCTCAGTATCACCAAACGATTATTTATTACATTTCCTCATTTATTTCGCCAATATGCCTAAGAGCTGTGAGTCGAGGGAAAAGTCCGCCTACAGCCGGTACATCAACAAGTGCCTGGGCTTCGATGCTGACTGCCGACCCTACCTGCCACTGGACCCCTACAACGAAGATCTTTATGATGCAATTCGTCAAGGCCTGATTCCCTGCAAACTGGTCAACAACTCGTTTCCAGAAGCGATCGACGAGCGTTGCATCCACAAGAGCTTGAACATAACAAATATAACCCAGCGAGTGGCGAACCTCCAGCTTGGAGTGACAGCTGCCCTTTGCAACGGCTGTGCGATTCGCTCTGTTCAAGTGGAGGATCTCGTGTCCGACACGAAGGAGGGAAAATGCAACAGCCTGGAGTTTGTCTACCAGGTCATCATCAACGGCTACTTTAGACAAATTAATGTATACCAACATCCAGAGATTTGTAACCTCAAGTTCGTTGGTGAGGATACAAGAGACATTAAATGCATATCTCCACAGGAGCTTCTGCTACGTTACGTCAACGTGCATCTGCTACACGCTGGCATCTCTAAACAGATATGCAGTTTTGAGGACCTCTGTGATGGTATCGTCTATGCCTATCTGCTTTACCACATTGCCCCGATGACTCTGCGCAGTCGACTCATCTCGCCTGACCAGATCATCAGCGATGCCGATCTTTCTAACAGAGCCAAAGCCGTGTTGCAAAATTTGCGCGAGTTAGAGGCCGATATGTTTCTCTGTCATGCCGACTTTATGGACTCGCGCACAGAGCTGGATCTGGTGACCCGTCTGCATCTGGCCACCATAGCCCATCTATTCTGTATGTTTCCGGGAATATTGGTCACCATGGGCAACCATTCTCGAAGCCGATTGCAGGAGGATATCGATCATCTGGTCACACGTAACTTCGTCAACTCTTTCGGCGTGACTCCGTTTTCGACGCACACTTGCGTCAACCTACGAGACGGCCTGCTTGGCTGCCAACTTTTCGAGGTGTTGCGCCCTGGATCGTCAATCGGACTGAAGTTTATCCGGGAATTCGATCCAGAAAGAATTGAATCCCAATATATTCATAACAACACAAATATTGTTCGCCTGGTGCAGAGCTATCCCCTCCACTTGCCACATATAGACTCTGAACGACTCTCCAAGACAGACGAAGCTTGCTGTATGTCTCTTCTGCTCGAGATCAAGCGCGCCTACATCTCAAATGACCACTACGATGAGGCGGCTCTTCTGCGTTGGGTAAACGAACAATTGCACAGGGCAGGCAGAAGCGTGGAGTTGCGTAGCTTCAGTGACCGCGCTATCCCAGAGGAGAATCTGTTCGCTATTGTGCTGAATAATCTGACAAATGGGATGGCCCGGAAGGAAATGATGACGGGCAAGAGGACCGAGAATGCACGCTATTACATCTCGATTGCTCACAAAGCCGGCTATCCTGTCTTCACCTCGCCGGAACACTTTGCCTCTTGCAACTCGAAGTTTGTCACACTTGCCTTCGCCACACTTCGCTCACCAATTCGTGTTCTTCACTGAAGTAAGAAAGCAATTCTCGCTTAAAATACACCGATTGAAGAACCATTGTCCAGGCGGTCAAAATGGCATCATATTCTCTCGGAGATGTAAACAGTTTACTTCCTCATTTATGTTGAGTCTACAGGGCTACTTTATGAATTCCACTCATGAAAACATGAAAGTCATAAAACACGTTTTCTGTCATTAAGTGCTTCAAGTGAACAGCACAATGCCAAATTACTCCAGACCAGTAAATATAATGGTTTATTTCATCATTGCGGCTATATTGTTATTATTCACTATTGTATAGCTAAGAAAGCCAACGTCAGTAGGATATGAAATGTTTGATAAAAAAATTGTATCTCGTTTCTAAGTAGATTTTCGAGACTATCATTAAATCAGGTTATGAGATGAGTTCACCCTGATTCGTTTAAGTTGATGAAGGGCTGATAATTGCATTTTCCTACAATGATATGAGTAGACCTTATATTTCCATTGAGTTTCACATGACCTTTCTAACCAAAAGCTATTCTCATTCAGGCTGGACAGCAGTTTCGACTTCGCCTAGGTCTTTTCTACGCCCCCAGCGGGACTCAAATCCTGACGTTGCAGCATATAAACTTGGCACTTTAACTGCTCCGCCACATTGCCACGAGTTTCCTTGGGTCACAGGGCATATGTGAATGTCAAGGAAGGCCAGATATTTTCCCATATCACATTCTTTGGTAGGATTGTCGATAAAACAGAGTTATATATTCTATAGCAATCGAATTATAAAAAATTATCAACAGATTTCGAGTAAGATCTCGAGAAGCCCTAGGTCGTTTAAGGTAATGAACTGAACAACAGTTGAGCTTCCAGAAATGAACTAAGTAGAAGGCCTTATAATGCTTTTGAACTCCTCCCTGAATTATTTCTTTAAAAATCTTTTCATCTAGACCGTACGCTACTTTAAGCCTCGTTTGGGTTTCATTACCATCTTAACCGGATCGAAATCTGATCATGCACACCAAGTATAAACCTTACCACTTCGCCAGCTACCGGCTTATCGTAATTTTAATGGATCATCAAATCGATTAATATAATTTGTCCTTCAAAAGTCAAAATCGGAGTATAGAAGTTGTTTGACCTTGTTTTCGCAACTCGGTCATATTGGTAGGAAGACTTAGAGGAAAGCACCTA